AGGATCGGGCAGTGTTTCGTTCTGCTGTGCATGGGGTCGCTATGAGTCGGAAACGACTCGACGGCACTTAACAACAACAACATTTTCATTGAACAGTCTTTCAGGAAGATACTTCCAGGTAAATAAATGTAGATTTACATCAGTCTCATAATGGGTGCCTAGTGTTCCATTAAGGAGCTCTGGTGGTATAGTGAATAAGGCATTTGGCTGCTAACCAAACAGTTGGTGGTTTGAACCCACCAGCTGCTCTGTGGAAGAAAGATGAGGCAGTCTGCTTCAGTAAAGATTTACAGCTTTGGAACCCAGTGGCAATGAGTTTGATTTGGTTTTTGGAGTGTTCCATTGCATGGATGTACTACAGTGTCTTATTTCATATTCACCTATTCCTAAGGGTAAAAATTAACTTTGTTTTAAAGTGTTTTTTGTTCGTTTTGTTGTGTTGTGTTTATTAACAGCAGCACAGTGAACATTCTTGTCCATAGATGTTTTAGCTGTTTCCATTTGTTTGCTATTATAAACAATGCTGTTGTGGACATCCTGGATATATCTCCTGGTATACATGTGATTTAAGAGACAACTTGCTAGATTTTGTTGTTGTTGTTTGTTGTTATATGCCATCGAGTCGACCCTGACTCATAGTGACCCCTCCTTGTGTTGCCGAGGCAGCATCACTACAGAAGTAGATTGCCCAACCTTCCTTCCGAGGAGTGGCTGATGGGTTTGAACCGCCAGCTTTCTGGTTAGCAGTCAAGTGTCTTAGGCTACCAGAGCTCCTTTGCTAGGTTTAGGAGATGCAAATGTTTTTATAAGATAATGCCAAATTATTATTCACAGTAGTTATGCCAATCTATACTCTTCATCAGCAAATATCTTGGACGAATATTTCTTAATTCTTTACTGTTAATTTTCACATTCATTCTGATTTTACTTTTAGGCAGCATCTCTCAGATTTCGTCCTTGTTTATTTTCCCTGCCACCTATATTTTCCAGACCCTGGTTGATTCACCTGAGGACTAACATGACCCCCTTGTGAGGCCATTTTCTTCCAGCCTATCTCTAGCCAGTGCTTCTTACAGTTGTGATGAGTGGCGTCACCAGATGTAGTTATTTTCTTTCCTCCAGAAAATCTCAAATCCCCCTCTTTAATCTACATAATAATGTGTTTTCATCCTGCTAGATTGTTCTCAAATTTTTGCACAAATATGTACATACATGTACACATTGTGTTAGTCTTATCCAAGTATACCTGCTTACCATTATTTCTAATTCCTGGAGATTTTATTGTTCAATCAGAAGATGTAGTTCTTTCATAGTCCAAAATAATATAATACTATATATTCAGGGTTTTATGACACATCTTTACACCAAAACTAATTGTGATTATGTCATCAAATGTCAGACTCTAGGATTTTCCTTTGTGTACATTGTTGTGTTTGTCACAGACACTGAAGTTTCCGAAGATCTCTCTGCTGGGATGGAGCGATGGTGGGATAACAGCGCTCATTGCTGCTGCAAAATATCCATCTTACATCAACAAGATGGTGATCTGGGGGGCCAATGCCTATGTCACCAATGAGGATGAAATGAGTTACCTTGGTAGGTCCTAACTGGACATGGTCCAACAACCAGAATCCTTCCCTTTTCTCTCCCTTCACATCTCCTAATTAAGATATGACAGGTCACATCTCTTTTGCTTTTAGTTCTCAGCTCTACTGGGAGAAGAATGATGGATTCTTGGAAAAGTAATGCAGTTTAACCTGTCTGTGCTTTAAAGCATTCTATTTCTAGAAGTGAAACTTTTATGACTCAGGAAAAAGCTAAGTAAAATCAGTATTTACATTTCTACTGATAGTGAACTTGAAGGAAGAGGCAGCTGATGGGAGTTGTTGTTAATAACATCATTTATTGTAATGTGACATTGTAAATGAGAATATGGTATTCCAACATGAAACCTTACATTTTGATTCAAAGAATTTCTGTTCTTGCACTTTCTTAAATTTGTCCTTTAAGCTTATCTTTGAAGCTTTTAAAGACAGTAGGAGAAGAGTCAGCAAACTATAGCCTACATGCCAAATCCAGCCCGCCACCTGTTTTTATAAGGTCTGGGTATCGATCTAATGGACTAGCGCTGTCAACCCCTGAGACCAAGCCAGGGTGCCCTCTTTGCCCCCGTTTTCCCCTCCACTCCCAGTGCTAATTCCTTGTGGGTGGCTGTGCCTTGCTGGGTGGCTGTGCCCAGGGCCTGCACTGGTGGCCACTTGCACATTGGAATCTATTGGCCACTGCCACCTAGTCATAGAATTTGTCTTGGGGCTGGCAACCCATTGAGTCACTTCACCTCCAGCCAGCTGCTCAAATGAAATATTCAGGCTATCTGGGAAGAGATATTTAGGTGCACCAGGAACTGAGTGTCACTGGGGTAGAGAGCGAAACTGATGGTGGTGACCACATACTCCTAACCTGCCCCATCACACTAGGTCCCTTCCTTTTAATGCTAGTGGCTTTTTGTCCTGAGTATATTTCTAGGGGACAGCAGTCTCAGACAGTCCACCCTAGAGAATTAGGGCTAGGCAGGGTAGGAGTGTCCCTCACTGTATTTTGCCTCTTGCCCTACAAAGCTTAAAGTATTTTCTATCTCACACTTTATAGAAAAAGCTTGGGGACTCCTGCGCTAGAATATCACAAGTCTAGTCTTTTTCAACTGTGTATTTCACATGACTTAAATAAGCTACTGAATGGTAATGTTTTTAGCTCTTTACCAGTCTTTCTGTTTGGCCAAGAACTATGAGTCTATTATATGATGAATCTGAGTTAGTGTTTTGGTTCTCTAGTGCTGCTCTAACAGAAAATACCATAGATGGGTGGCTTGAAAAAACAGGAGTTATTCTTTTACAGTTTTGGAGGGTAGAAGTCCAAGTTCAAAGTGCCAAGCTTTAGAGGCTTGATCAAGGCCCTTCAACCTTTAGCTCTGCCTCTTGCTCCTGGCCCACTGGAGCTAGAGGTGTCTCTTCACTCAGGCAGTTGCTGGCTGTTAAGGCTGACAAGCCCAAAGTCAACAAATAAATGGCACAGCCCCAATACTACCAAACAACTTGGCAGGCCACTAGTTCAAGGCCAGAGACAGTCAAGATCAGCAAGAAACATGGCAGGCTGCTAAATGAAGGCTCAGCTACTTATAGGGTCCAAGAGTGCCAAAAAGCTGCTGAGACCTTTCTCAAAACTTCTCCTTATGCACTAGAAGCAGACAATATCCCTAAGGCAGCTACTTAGGTGCTCCAGTACATTCCACCATGGAGTTGATTACCAATCTTCTCATGGAAAGTAACTACATCCAGCTGCCCAGCCACTCAAAACCTGGCTCAGCCAAGTTGACACATAACCTTAACTATCAGTGTTACCAGTCCTAATCTTTCCTCCTCCTCCTCTTCATTTTCTTACCTAGTTCAAAGGAAGAGCATCTGTCTTGGGCAGAGTAAGCCATTCTACTTTGTGCTGAGAGGGCCTTGAGGGCAGAGACCATGTCTCATTCAAGTTTGTATCTGCTCAGAGTAACACAACAGGCTCAGGTCATGTTTACTTGATTAGCTCATTAATTAATGATGAGTGAATGAGTTTTCTCCACTAGATTCCAGTGATTAACACAAATTGTATGCTCAAAAGTTTCTCTTGAGATACACCTTTGTTGTTTTTACAGGATTAGCAATTTGATTCAAATGGTTATTTAGGGAATTTAACTTTTAACATAATTGTTACTTATTCTTTAGTAGGAATTATGTTTTAGGGTAAAATGGCTTCCTCTTGAAATACAGCAATAGAAGTAAATATATGTAATATTTTTGAGTGCTTGTTATATGCCACACAGGGTTGTTAGCACATTTCATGCATTAACTACTTATTTATTCTTAACCCTAGAATATGATTATAATTTCATTTTCAGATGAAAAAACCAGCACAGAAAGTTTAAGTAACTTGTTCAGTGTCACAGAGCCAGTAATAAGAACAGGAGCTGGGCTTAAACCCAGGCAGTCTGAATTCCAAGTCTGTGTTCTTTTTTTAAAAAAAATATTTATTGTGATTTGGGTGATAGTTTACAGAGCAAATTCATTTTCCATACAGCAGTTCATATACATTTTGTCTCATGACATTGACTGCAATTTCCCACAATATAACAGCTCTCTTCCCACTTCCTCCCCATAGTTACCTCTTCCCTGTGTCTTTCCCTCCCATGCACTCCCACCCCTCCCCGAGCTGTCTCCCTGTGCAAACACTGCCCTTCTATTCTCCCATGATTGATTGCTCCAAGTACTGTATCTACCAGATGTAAATGTTCAGCCCATATGCCTGTTATTTGGCTGGAAGCCACAGGAGTGAGTTCAATTCCAGACCTGAAGGGTAGCCAGGAGCCATAGTCTCGGGAGTCTCACCAGGTTCTATCAGACCAGCAAAGCTGGTCTTTTTTTTTATGATTTTGGGTTTTGTTGCACATTGTTCTCCCACTCTATCCAGGATCTCTTCCACCAGTCCCCCTCTGGGTAGTTGACAGTGGTAGCTAGGCACCATCTAGTTCTTCTGGTCTCATGGTCATATAGGCTGAGGATCACATGGTCTATCTGTCCCATGGACTAATTGTTTCCATACGTCTTTGGTTTTCTTCATTTTTGTTTGCTGTGGATGAGGAGAGACCCATCATTGCACCAAATGGCTGCTTGCAAGCTTTTAAGATCCCAGGCACTACTCACCAAAGTAGCATATAGAACAATGTTTTTGTGTAGCATGTTATGCCAATTGTGCTTGATGTCCTCTGCGACCATGGTCCCAAGCCCATAGGTCTGACTACTCACTCCCTCTGGGTAGCTGGCTGTGGCTAAGAAGTCACCACAATCTTGTCCTTTGTCAGCTCTACTATATACCTGGTCATTCTTAAAGAACATACAGATATGCCAAGCCTGTGTTCTTAACCACAATGTGAACATCTGGCTTACCTCAGCCATAGCTGGACTTCTCTGTCCCTGTTCCTATAAATCTAGAGCCTTGCCTAAGATTTTGCATTCTCATCTCACTGCCATTGACTCAATTTCTGACGCACAGCAACCCCCATTGGGTTTCTGAGGTGGTAAATCTTTACAGAAGTAAATTGCCCCATCTTCCTTCTGATTTGATTATCAATCAAATGCCTTAGGCATTACGCCAACAGAGCTCCTTTTACATTCCCATAGATGGCTCCAAATGCCTGCTTTTACTGAGTTTATTTTAGGGGTTTCTTACTGTTCCCAGAAGAGGACTTCACACGTTAGCAAGGAAAATATCTTCATGCTGAACATTTGCCAACTTGGTTCTTAAAATGTCTTGGTCTTCACATCACAGGGGACTTTTTCCCTAATCAAGTTTTTTAATTAATTAATTTAATAATAACGATTGGGCAATCTACTTCCGTAGCAGTACCACCTCGGAAAGCCAAGGAGGGGTTGCTATGAGTCAGGGCTGACTTGAGGGAAGTGAGTTTGGTTTGGTTTGGCATATGTATGTATTATACTGTATAATAATTGATATATGAAACATGTATAGATTATGACACCCATAAGCCCAGTACAGAACCAAGAATAACCAACCAAACCAAACTTGTTGCTGTCAAATCAGTTCCAACTCATGGTAACCCCATATGCTACAGAGTAGAACTGTTGCATAGGGTGTTTTTGGCTATAATCTTTGTGGAAGGAGCTATCTAGGCCTTTCTTCTGTGGTGCTGCTGGGAGGATTCAAACTGCCAATGCTTTCGGTTAGGAGCTGAGAGAAAAACATCTGTGCCACCCAGCAAATTAAAATTAATTTCGTTTAAACTTTAAGTTATCACAGTGTGTTTACAGAAATAAGGGAAAGATTGGGCTAGGAAATTCACTTACTTTAAAGGTGATTTTTACCTCACAGGATTTAGTTCCTTGGTTTCAGGTCATGGTTTAATGGGACATCCCACTTAATTGGCCTAATAACATGTTTAGTGCTTCTGTTCTACCTCCTAGTTTTTTTGGGTAGGGTTTGGGGTCTTAAAAGCTTGCAGGCAGCCATCCAAGGCACAACAATTGGTCTCTAATCACGTGGACCAACAGAGGAAGAAGAAGAGTCGAGAATGGGTAGAGGATATAGAACGTGTGGGTAATTGCCTCCATAAGCAATTGCTTCCTTTGGTGTGAGACCAGAAGAACAGAATGGTGCCCTGATATCATTACTGGACCTTTTGATCAAAGATACTGTAGAAGAATCTTGATCAAAAGGGGAGTAATACAGAATTTCAAGTTCTCATGAACTTCAGACCTTCTGGAGCCATGGGGTTGGATGGATCCCTAAAACTATTGATTGCCCTGAGATAGTTTTTAAACCTTAAACCAAAAATATCTCCCAAAGTTTTCTTAAAACCAAACAGTAATTTTGCTAAACTAGCAAATAATAATAATAATAATAATAATACTGTCTGCCCTGAGCAATATTCTCTTTTAAAAACTATCTATATGGAATCAAAGTAACAACAGCAATTGAAAGGATAGGAACCTTAGGGGGCAGTGAGTTTATGTTAATGAGGGAGGAACAACTCAGAAAAGGAGGGTGGGAATGGTTGCATGGCTCGAAGAATATAATCAATGGCAATGAATTGTACATGTAGAAACAGTTGAATTGGTGTATGTTTTGTTATGTGTAGTCTCAACAACAAAATAAATTAAAAAAAAAGATAGTTTTTAGTTATTGTTATTTATCCTAATAGTGAATCATCTGCAATATAGTTTGAAGTTAGTAATATTAGGTGCTTTTCTCAACACACATAAACCAATGCAGGGAAAAAAATATTCTTATAAATATTGTCACTCTTACTCAGGAGAACCTAGTCGGGGGAATGTTTTATTTTATACCTTTAGCAGAAAGCATTCAGTGAACATCACATCATTCACCTGCTATGTATTTACTTGGGGCCTATTTTATGCCAGCTATTGGTCTAGGCCCTGGGGGTGGACAAAGCAGAGCTTTATGGAGCTTATGGAGCTTATGGAGCTTATGATGTGGGGGTGGCAGAATGTGCCCCAGGTACTGGGAACACAATGAGGGCATGCTAAGTGTAAAGCAGAGTAGGTGGGTGGAGGGTGGTGTAATTTAGGGATGCTCTTGTAGGGATGGTGGGCATGGAAGACCTCTGTGGTATTTGAGCAGAAATCTGGATGTAGTAAGAAATAAGCCATATGGGCATCAGGGGAGCATTCCAGCAGAGAGAAAATATCAAGGCTCTGTGAGGGACAAAGTGGAATGTATGAAAATAGTACCTTAATATGAGACACTTACCATTGTCTACACTTTTGTTCTCCAGGGATTCGAGATGTTTCTAAATGGAATGAAAGAACAAGAAAGCCTCTAGAAGTCCTATATGGGTACGACTACTTTGCTCAAACTTGTGAAAAGTGGGTGGATGGCATTCTTCAATTCAAATATCTGCCTGACGGTAGGTTGCATGAACTGTTTCTTGGCTTATTAGAAAATGTGAAAAAAAGACACCTGAATTTCTATCCTGATAATTCCAGAATCCTCAGTGATGATGAATTCACTGATTATCTTTACACACTGATGTGTGAAAACAGAATACTAGTATTGTACACAGTACATTATTGTATAAGAAATGTGCCTTAAACTAGAGACAGAGCTGTATATATAAAGGTTCATACAGTTTTCTCTTTAATAGCAGATTGTTGTCTTTTTCTTCCAATTCTTTGTGTGTGTATATGGTGACAAACTAATTTCCAGAAGTCTCAGATATTTTCTAATTTTGGAATGGGTAATTAGGAAACAAACAAGCCTCCTTATATACCATGTTTTCTCCTTGTTGCACTACTATCTCTGTTACTAGGACAAAAAGGAGGAACTTTTGGTCATAATCTTTAGCCCCTCATGATCTTTAGTATGAGGATGAGAGTACTCTGTTCTTTTCCCATCTTCAGACTAAGTTATAGGAACTTAACCATAAGCAGATGGTTAAAAAAAAGAGGTGTTTTTTTTTTAATTTGAAAAATTAACAAGTAATAATTGAAATTCAATTTCAATTACAATAAGAATTGAAATTTCTAAGACAAATTCTGAATTAAAGTTTATTTTTATGTAACACTGTTATTACGGAGCTCTGGTAGTGTAGTGCCTAAGGCACTTGACTGCTAACCAGAAGGCCGGTAGTTCAAACCCACCAGCCACTCCTTGGAAGGAAGGTTGGGCAATCTACTTATATAGTGATACCGCCTTGGAAACCCAAGAAGGGGTCGGTATGAGTCAGGTCTGACTCGACAGCACATAACAACAACAATTATGGTGTAGTGGGTAAGATATTTGGCTGCTGACTAGAAGGTTGGTGGTGCAAACCCACCAGCTGCTCCATTGGAGGAAGATGATGCAGTCTACTTCTGTAAAGATTTACAGCCTTAGAAGCCCAATGGGGGTCACTGAGTTGGAATTGACTCAGTGGCAATGGGTTTGGTTTGGTGGTTTTATTTACATTTGTAATCTTTCATTTTTCTTGTATTTAATTGCTGAAAGGATAGAAAAGCTAAAATCTAATGTTGGAGGATATTCAGTTTTAAAATGGCTGTAGTTGAAGGACCAGTTTAATCTATTAGGTAATGATTTTCAGAATGAGTCATTTGTCAAAACTTTGATAACACAAAGGACATTTGTATATGTTATTCATTTTTGTTTTCAGAATAGCAAATATGTGCTTTGTAATGATCCTGTTAAATAGAGTTTCAACCCATAGAAACAGATTCTTGAAATGTGTTTCCCTCAGCTCTTAAACTAAAAGTTCCATAAGACAATGTTGAAGAGCATCCACTGCTGTCAAGTCAATTCCTACTCGTAGCAACCCTATAGGTCAGAGTAGAACTGCCCCATAGGGTTTTCAAGGCTGTAAATCTTTATGGAAGCAGACTGCCACATCTTTCTCCTGTGGAGTGGCTGGTGGATTCGAACTGCCTTTGGGTTAGCAACTGAACACTTAACCACTGTTCCACCAGGGCTGCTTATGTCTAAGACAGTACTCCATTAAAGAAGACAAATTTGTTAACTGTAAACTTTGATGGTTTATTGAAAAGAGCTGTAAAAACACAGGAAGACTCAAAGGTAGAGCAGAGCAGTTCAAAAGTAAGTCATGATATTGAGGATCTAAAACTACCCCCATTGTCTTCAAGTCAATTTCACTCATAGAGACCCTATAGGACAGAGTAGAACTGCCCAAAAGGGTTTCCAAGGTTGTAATCTTTCCAGAAGGCTGGCGGTTCAAACCCACCAGCCACTCCTCAGAAAGAAGGTTGGGCAATCCTACTTCCATAGTGATACTGCCTCGGAAACCCAAGGAGGGGTCGCTATGAGTCAGGGCCAACTCTTACGGCATATAACAACAACAACAACAACAACAATCTTTCCAGAAGCAGACTGCCTCATCTTTCTCCTGTGGAGCAGCTAGTAAATTACTGAACTCTCTTTTGTACTAGTTAATGTAACAGGAGCCATTGTTCTCATCAGTGTGTCCTCAAGTTCATGGATGATCATTATAGCATAGTGATTGATTGCACAGCTTTGGAGTTGAACAAACCTGGGTTTGAACTCTGGCTTGATCACTTGCTTATTGTTAGAATAGATTTGGGCAGATTATTTAGCTTCGCAAAGGCTCAGTTTCCATATCTATAAACTGAAGATAAAAATACCTATCTCATAAAGTTGTTGTGAGAATTAAATGAGATAATATATGTTAAGCTTTGGCACAGTACCAAGTACAAGGTAAGTGCTTAATAAAAGATTATAATTATTACTATTATTATGAAAGTACTTAATTTACAAATAACCATATATACTAAAATTAGTTAGAACATGTAATCACTATAAATATTTGCTGTTGTTAGGTGCCATCAAGTCATCTCTGACTCATAGTGACCTCATGAACAGCAGAACACAACACTGCCCGGTCCTGTGCTAGCCCCACGATCTTTGCTATATCTGAGCCTATTGTTTCAGCCACTGTTTCAATCCATCTTGTTGAGGGCCTTCCCCTTTTTTGTTGTCCTTCCACTTTGCCAAGCATGATATCCTTCTCCAGGGAATGATCCCTTCTTACAACATGACCAAAGTAGGTGAGATGAAGTCTGGCAATTCTCAACTCCAAGGAGCATTCCAGCAGCAGTCTTCCTTTTTCATTGTCCAGCTCTCACATGCATATGAGGTGATTGCAAATACCATGGCTTGTGTCAAGCACATCTTAGTCTTCAAGGAAACATCCTTGCTCCTCAGCACTTGAAAGAGGTCCTTTGCAGCAGATTTGCTCAATGCTGTACAACATCTGATATCTTGACTGCTACTACCATTGGTGATGATTGTAAAACCAAGTAATATGAAGTCTTTGACAACTTCAATATTTTCTCCATTTATCATGATGCTGCTTATTGGTCCTGTTGTGAGGATTTTTGTTTTTTTTATATTGAGGTGTAATCCATACTGCAGATTGTAGTCTTTAATCTTCATCAGTAAGTGCTTCAAGTCATCTTCACTTTCAGCAAGCAAAATTGTGTCATCTGCATAATGCAGGTTGTTAATGAGTCTTCCTCCAATCCTGAGGCCACGTTCTTCTTTATATAGTCCAGCTTCTTGGATTATTTGTTCAGTGTACAATTTGAATAAGTATGGTGAAAGGATACAACCTTAACGCATTCCCTTCTTGATTTTAAACCATGCAGTGTCCCCTTGTTCTGTTTGAATGACAGCCTCCTGGTCTATGTACAAGTTCCTCATGAGCACAATTAAGTGTTCTGGAATTCCCATTCTTCTCAATGTTATCCATAATTTGTTGTGATCCACACAGTTGAATGCCTTTGCATAGTCAATAAAACATAAGTAAAAATCTTCCTGATATTCTTTGCTTTGAGTCAAGATCCATCTGACATCAGCAGTGATATCCCTCATTCCACGTCCTCTTCTGAATCCAGCTTGCATTTCTGGAAGTTCTCTGTCAATATATGCCATAACTGTTTTTGAATTATCTTCAGTAAGATTTTACTTGTGTGTGATATTAATGATGTTGTTTGATAATTTCCACATTCTGTGGGATCCCCTTTCTTTGGAATGGGTACAAATATGGATCTTTTCCAATCAGTTAGCCAGATAGTTGTTTTCCAGATCTCTTGGCATAGCCAAGTGAGTGCCTCTAATGCGGCATCCATTTGTTGAAACATCTCAGTGGCTACCCTGTCAATTCCTGGAGCCTTGTTTTTTGCCAGTTTTCCCTCAGTGCAGCTTCGACTTCTTCCTTCAATACCATTGATTCTTGGTCATATGCCACCTCCTGAAATGGATGAACAGCAACCAATTTTTTTTTGGTACAATGACTCTGTGTATTCCTTCCATCTTCTTTTGATGTTTCCTGCATCATTCAATATATTCGCCATGGAATCTTTTGATATTGCAATTCAAGGCTTAAATTTCTTCTTCAGTTCTTTCAGCTTGAGAAATGCCAAGCATGTTCTTCCCTTTTGGTTTTCACACTCCACATCTTTGCACATTTCATTATAGTAATTGGTTTTGTCTGCTCGAGCTGCTCTTTGAAATCTTCTGTTCAGCTCTGTTATCTTGTCATTTCTTCCATTTGCTTTAGCTACTCTCCATTCAAGGAGCTCTGGTAGCATAGTGCCTAAGGCACTTGACTGCTAACCAGAAGGCTGGCGGTTCAAACCCACCAGCCACTCCTCGGAAGGAAGGTTGGGCAATCCTACTTCCGTAGTGATACTGCCTCGGAAACCCAAGGAGGGGTCGCTATGAGTCGGGCCCGACTCGATGGCAAATAACAACAACAACTCTCCGTTCAAAGGCAAGTTTCAAAGTCTATTCTGACATCCATTTTGGTCTTTTCTTCCTTTCCTGTCTTTTTAATGACCTTTTGCTTTCCTCATGGATGATGTTCTTGATGTCATCCCACAATTCTTCTGGTTTTTGGTCATTGGTGTTCAGTGCATCAAATCTGTTCTTTAAATGGTCTCTAAATTCAGGAGGGATATAATCAAGGTCCTACTTATGATACTGCCTTGGAAACCCAAGGAGGGGTCGCTATGAGTCGGGGCCGACTTGACGGAACATAACAACAACAACAATAATCAAGGTCATATTTTGGCTCTCATGGACTTGTTTTAATTGTCTTCAACTTCAACTTCAACTTCAACTTGCAAATGAGCAGTTGATGATCTCTTCCACAATCAGCTCCTGGCCTTGCTTTGGCTGAAGATACTGAGCCTCTCCATTGCCTCATGCCACAGATGTAGTCAGTGTGATTGCTGTGCACTCTGTTTGGCGAAGTCCACATGTACAGCCACCATTTGTGTTGTTGGAAAAAAGGTATTTGTAACGAATTAAGTCATTGGTCTTGCAAAATTCTATCATATGATCTCCAGCATTATTTCTGTCTCCAAGGCCAAATTTTCCAACTACTGGTGATTCTTCTTTGTTTCCAACTTTTGCATTCCAGTCACCAGTGATAATCAGCACATCTTGACTGCATGTTTGGTCAATTTCAGAATGCAGTTTCAGAATTTCCTGAATGCATGTTTTGGTCAAATGCAGAAGCTGGTAAAAATCTTCAGTTTCCTCATTTTGGGCTTTGATGGTTGGTACGTAAATTTGAATAATAGTAACATTAACTGGCTTTCCTTGAAGGCATATGGATTTTATCTTATCACTGACAGGGTAGTACTTCAGGATAGATCTTGAAACATTCTTTGTGATGATGAATGCCACACCATTCATCTTCAATTTGTCATTTCCAGCATAGTAGATCATATGGTTGTCTGATTCAGAATGGCCAAAACCAGTCCATTTCACTCACTAATGCCTAGAAAATCAATCTTTATGCATTCCATTTCATTTTGGACAACTTCCAATTTTCCTAGATTCATACTTCATACATTCCAGGTTCGGATTATCAATGGATGTTTGCAGCTATTTCTTCTAATCTTGAGATGTGCCAGCCACATCAGCAAATGGAGGTCCCAGTAGCTTTATTCTATCTACATCATTAAGGTAGGCTCTACTCTGATGAAGCAGCTGCTTCCCAGTCATATTCTGAGTGCCTTCCAAACTGAGAGGCTCATCTTCTGACACTGTATCGGACAATGTTTCAGGTTTATTCATAAAGTTGTCCAGTAATATATCAGACAGTGTTTCACCACTATTCATAAGGTTTTCACTGGCCAGTTCTTTGAGAAGTGGATGGCCTCTTCCTTCTTCTGAGTTTTTCTCAGTCTGGAAGCTCCACTGAAACTGGTCTACCATGGGCATCCCTGCTGGCACAGCCTTCAGCCTCACAGCAACACACAAGCCACCACAGTATGATGAACCAACAGAAAAGTTTGTCTCCCTTAGCTGTTCCAACCACTCCACTCACTTCCTGGGCTACCCCCTACCTGTTCCTGCCAGCCCTGTCTGCCACTGCTCCCCGCCACCTGGGGCTATCCCCCTCCCACCTTACCTTTTCCAGCCACCAGCCCTGTCTGCCACTGTTCCCTACTGCCTGGGGGCTGTCCCCAGCCTGCCTTACCTGTTAAATGTTTAGCAATTATTAAATTGTTTAACTTGTTCCTGACACAGCGTGAACATTCACTAATACTGGTTTTAATCACATCACCAGGTCTTTTTTCTGAAATGCCTCTGGATGGACTCAAACCTCCAACCTTTTAGCAAGCAACTGAGCACATTAAACATTTGTGCCACCTGGGAACTCCCAGAAGGAATATTAGGCACCATCTAATCCAGATGACTGATTTTACAGACCTGAACATGGGGATCCAGAGAGGCAAGGATGTACCCAAGCTCTATTCCTTCTTCTTTTTATCATATTGAATGGCTACATTAAAGCAAACTCGTTGTGCTATTTTTCAGGTAATATCTGTCGACACTTACTGCCCCTCATTCAGTGTCCTACTTTAATCATACATGGGGAGAAGGACCCTCTGGTGCCACGTTTCCATGCGGACTTTATCCATAAACATGTTAAAGGGTCACGGTAAGTCCAGATCACAGTTGCAGGCCTCTGTGCCACAGAGGCTTAAGGAATAAATGGAGCAAATTGTGATAAGGAAAAGGAAAGTGAGATGTTGGATGTTTTTAAGGTATAGGCTCACCCCATTTTGCCAATATTGCTATATTTGAGGAACCGTGAAAATACAAAGAATAAGAAGCCCTGTTTTATGGGTTAATAATAAGTGGAAGGAATAGATTCTTAGATCAGTATGTCTTATTATTGTTGTGAATGGCAAATGTGCTGATGGTATTAGTTCTAACACTGATTACAATTTAGATTTCTATCAGTCATTGTTTACTAAAATAATATGACATAATTTGGGAATTTTCAGATTAGTTTTACATCATTAAAAGTACTCAGTGAAGAAAATTTGTAAAATCAAAAGAAAAAAACAGATCATCTAATCCTTTACACCTATTTAAATACTATGTTTATTAACATTTGTGTTGGTTGTTTCTGGTTTTTTACATACACACACACACACACACACATATAAAACCATTATTGCCAAGTTGATTTAAACTCATAGAGACCATATTATAGGACACAGGAGAACTGCCCAATAGGGTTTCCAAGGCTGTTTACAGAAGCAGAGTGCCACATCTTTCTCCCGCAGAGAGGCTAGGTTCGAATTGCTGACTTTTTGGTTAGCAGCCAAGTACTTAACCACTGTGCCACAAAGCCTCCTTAGATAGATAGATAGATAGATAGATAGATATGGAGATAGAGATATAATCTATATCTATTTATATAATCAATCATATTCTATATTCAACTCTGAATCCTGCATTTTTTCACTTAAAATTATAAGATTTTCATGTTACTTCAGCCTTCAGCCTCACAGCAACACACAAGCCACCACAGTATGATGAACCAACAGAAAAGTTTGTCTCCCTTAGCTGTTCCAACCACTCCACTCACTTCCTGGGCTACCCCCTACCTGTTCCTGCCAGCCCTGTCTGCCACTGCTCCCTGCCACCTGGGGCTATCCCCCTCCCACCTTACCTTTTGTAAGTATATATCATAATTTGAAACCTGCTACACAGCATTACAAAATTCGTACACTAAGACTCATACCTAATAGTAGGTGTCAAAGGGGCAAGGGGTCTGCATCTTCTGACCTCTTCTAACTCCACAAGAGGAAGACAGAATCACTATCAGTAGCCCAAGGCCTATTCCTGCAAGGCCAGATATGGTGCATCCCTCCAGCCCTTTCACCAACCCTGACACCAACCGTTCCTCCCACAGCACCCACCACCTCTCTACTGGGTTTGATAATTCACTGCAGTGGCCACACAGAACTCACAGATTATGGGGCTTATTAAGGAAGCAACAGGCTACAATTCAAGTTCAGGGACACACTTAGTCTCTCTCAGGCCACCATCTCTCAGTCGATAGTCTTTCTCAGTCTCTTTCCCAGCAGTGCATGTCTCTCTCTCTCACACAGCAGTGCATGTCTCTCGGTGTCTCTCTCAGCAGTGCGTGTCTCTCATGTCTGTCTCTGAGCAGTGCGTGTCTCTCATGTCTCTCAGCAATGGGTGTCTCTCACGTCTCTCAGCCAGCTGTGAGAGATTCCTTCTGTCTTTAGGAGGGCTCCTTTTAAGCCTGGCAGAGCGGCCAAATTAACCAATCCCAAAATCAGATTTCTATACACCTGAGAGAGAGTGACCTTCCCAGAAGATTGCTTCATGCCACTCTCAACAGAAATACCCCAGGTGGATAACTTTAATGATCAGGAGCTACTCAGTATAGTTCATGGCAAATTCTACCGTGAAGTCTACAAAGACTATGGCTAGAAAAGCCATATTATGTAATTTATTACACTGCAGCAGGCATATGTCACTTGCTCTTTTTGTACTTATTTCTGCCAGCCAAGCACAGGCATCTGAGAACTTTACAAGATAGGTCAGCAGAATTTCCATTATTCAATCCCACACATTTTTTTTAGAAATAAAAATTTGTATTTTAAATACTTTGACAGAGGAACCAGCTTTTGCTGTTACTATGTCAAGATGAAAATTCAAAGTTGAATAAATTCCATGTTTCCTTTACATGCGATGGGTGCACACACTGGGGGGGAAATAAGATCTGACTGGGAGATGAGTGGCCTGGGTTTTTTCTTTTCTTTCTTTCTTTATTTTATTTTTACAAAGGCTCTAGGAAATAAATATACAAGTGAATGTTGACCACACAGAGACTGTATGTTCATTCCAGAGATGCAGTCATTACTTAGGACATCTTTGGAATTCAACTGAATTCTTTTGAAACTGGATTTTTTAACCACTTAAGAAACTCCTTCTGCCCTCCCTCCCTTCCTCTCTCCCTCTATTAACCAGTGTCTGCTAAGTGCCAAGGGAGCTTTGGTGATGCCGTGGTTAAAGCATTTTGCTGCTAACCAAAAGTTTGGCAGTTTGAACCCACCAGCCACTCTGTGCGAGACAGATGAAGCAGTCTGCTTCCATAAAAATGTACAGCCTTGGAGCCTCTGTCCTATAATATTGCTATGAGTCAGAATCAACTTGATGGCAGTGGGTTTGTTTTTTGGCTAAGTGCCAGCACTGCTCCACATGGCAAATGGTAGTCCTTGTCCTCAAAGCCTCTGCAATTCAGCACAGAAAGCAGACAGAAACAGTCCCACTACTTCCTACTCAACTGTTCTGTGACATATTTTAACAACAAACTTCTCTGAGAATTTTAAATGTGAGAAAAATGCTTCATATTTTACAATGAAGTACAACCACCATAAACTAATAGTACTGAAGGAAGAAGTCAAGCTGTACTGAAGGCATTGGCAAAAAACAAGGCTCCAAAAATTTATGGAATAACAACTGAGATATTTTGACAAACTTAACGCAGTGCTGGAAGCACTAACTCATCTATGCCAAGAAATTTGGAAGACAGCTACCTGGCCAACCAACTGGAAGAGACCCTTACATGTATCCACTCCAAAGAAATGTGATGCAACGGAACACTGAAATTATTGAACTATATCATTAATATAACATGCAAGTAAATTTTTGCTGAAGATAATTCAAAAACATTTGCAGCAGTACATTGACAGCGAACTGCCAGAAATTCAAGGTGGATTCAGAAGAGGACGTAGAACAAGGGCTATGGTTAGTGATGTCAGATGGATCATGGCTGAAAACTGAAAATAGCAGAAAGATATTTACCTGTATTTTATTGACTATGCAAAATTGTTCAGCTTGTGGATCATATAACAAATTATGGATAAAATTTGCAAAGAATGGGAGTTACAGAACACTTAATTGAGCTGGTGGGGAACTTTTACATAGACTGCTTCTGTTCAAAGCAGTTGTTCAAACAGAACAAGGGGATACTGCATAGATTAAAATCAGAAAGAGGGTGCATCAAGATTATAACCTTTCAAAGATGGCAGACTAGGCAGAAGGACTGCACAGACGCTCTTCAACAAAGACAAGGGAAACCAATTGACACAGACACAGAAGATAATCTTGG